ACTCAAAAATTCATATTATGAAACTTTAGGCCAAAACCCCCAATTTCTTCTTTAAAATTTATCAACCAAAATCTAAAATCGAAGATAGATTCACGAAATATAACCAAAAACAAGTAGAGAACACTTACCCCAATTCACATTCTAAAAATTGCCTCGAAATTGCTCAATTTCGAGCTCCCCAACTCAAAATATGTTAAATGAACAAAACCCTTGTTTTAACATTGTTCTGCCTCGTTTTTGTGCCAAAAGATCTCGAAACTCACTTTTGATGCCTCCAAAGGATTTTTTGTAAAATTTTAGTCAATTTAGGCTCTTGAATGACTCCATTTGACCTTATATTAAAGGAGATATGTTGATTTAAATATTTGCAAATAGTGTAGATTTTTAAATACGCAGACAGTGGCAATTTTGTAATTATAGTGAAAAATCTTGCAACCCACTTCTTTGTAAAATGATCATAAAATCCTCATACGATATCCAAATTTGACGATACTTTTTGCTATGGCTCCGTAATTATAATAGGGATATAATTCTTCAATTAAAACAGAAATCATAGCTTATTTGTTCAATGTGGTACCATTTATGCTTGAGGAAATGACATCGAAACATAAGAAAAACGAACGCAACATAACCCAATCCTATCCGAAATTCACCTGAGTCCCTCGGGACCCCGTCGAAACATACCAACAAGTTCCATATCATAATAAGGACCTACTCAAGGCCTCAAAACACACATAACAATATCGAAACAACGAAACGCAGCTCAAATCAAACTGAATGAACTTCCGAACTTTCGACTTCCAAAAACTCACGCCGAAACATATCAAATCAACTCGAAATGAACTCAAATTTTGCAAACCTTTCCTAATACATCACATAGAGCTACTCGTGCCCCCAAACTACAGAGCGAGTGCAAATGCTCAAAACGACCGGTCGGGTCATTACATAGTTCCCCCACACAAAGTTATGCAATATGCTTACCTCAAATATACACCAAATCAACAATCAAAATTAGTTTTCCCTTAAAATTCGTCTCTACACGGCTCAAATCTAACAAAAAACAACTCAATATCATCAAATAATGCAAGAGAAATCAGTTTCAATTAATAAACCTATGATCTTTACACAATTCTCCAAAAGTCAACAAAAAGTCAACCTCAGGCCCGCCAGATCAAAACCCGAGTCTAAGGGTAGATATCGATTCCCCATAGCCCTACGAGTCCATATATGTGTGTTCTTTTCAAATCTAAGTCCAATTTGACTCTCAAATCTCAAGTTTTAAGAGTCTATTTTGACTCGGATTTGAAAAGTAATCACATATATGGACTCGTGGGGTTATGGGTAGTTGAAATCTACCCTTGGACCCAGGTTTTGACCGTGCGAGCCCGGGGTCGACCTTTGTTGACTATTTGGAAAATGTGTGAAGATCATAGTTTTATCTATTGTAATTGGTTTATATTGTATTGTTTGATGCTATTAAGTCACTTTTGGTTAGATTTGAGCTGCGGGGAAGTGATTTTAGGGGGAAAAGTCTATTTTTGAAGGGTTGAGTTAGCCTAGTTGAGGTAAGTGTCTTGCCTAACTTTGTATGGGGAAACTACCCCTTAGGATTTGGGTTGAATGTGATATTTGTGCTGTGTGGAAGACGTATACGCAAGGTGACGAGTGTGTACACGGGGCTATATGTGGTATTCGATCGGTTTAGGTTACTTAGACTCTTTCCATGCCTTCAATTGAATTATCACAACATGTTATGTATTTCTTTGTTAATCTTCTCGTACGTGTATTGATCTACTCTTACATGTTTTATTTAACATTGTTCGTACTTCTTCTAGCTTTTACTTGTTATATTTTCTCTCATATGCTTTAGTTGAAGTGTTTCCTTCCTTATTGTCTTGTTACCTCTTTATTGCTGCATTACTCTTACTTGAAGTTGTTATGTCGTGGGAATTATCTTCCTGCTGGTTTATTGACGTTAAGGTTGTGAAAGCTATTATTACATTGAGGTTGAAATTGTTGATTTTGAAAGAACTTTTCCTTGTTGAGCATTTCTCATTTATCATGTCATTTTTGAGATTCTTTTACACATTCTGATTGATCCGTTGGCTAATTGTTGTGGAAACATTGGTGTTGTTGATTTGGCAAGTTGTGGCATATGGGAACTTGTAGTGCGAGGTATTATCGTGTTGTGATATTGACACGTAGTATAAGGATATGTGTTGATACACATGCAGTAAAATAAGGTAGGCTTGAAATGCGTGTTGCTAGCAAAGGAATTACTTGAAGCCACGTTGTGAGATAAGGTGGGCTAAAACACATGTACTATTTCGAAAAAAATGATTTTTAAAACTAAATGTAAGGTTCACATGGTAATATATGGAAAGATTGTGATTGAAATTTTGAAATGTGAATATGAGGTGGTACCTCGGTTGTGATTCTTGTTGTACATTTCATGTTGAAAAGGTTTATTGGTTGAATAGTTCTTGTTGTTTTTCCTCCTTATCTTACCTTTTCTTGTCTGTATTTAATTACTTGCTGTTCTCATTATGTGTCCCCTTCTTGTTGCCTTCTTGCTTTAAATTTTTTCATTAGCTTACACTATTAAACTACTTTGTTATCATTCATTTCATCATTTTCCGTTAATTGTCTTTATTATACTTTTTTCCGTCTATCTTGTCCTATTAGGTGTCATGACCTGGCCTTGTTACTACTCTATCGAGGTTAGGCTTGATACTTACTAGGTACTATTCTAGTGTACTCATACTATGTTTCAACATATTTTTTGTGCAGATCCATGTACATATGCCAGTGCTGGATGCCAGTGATTGATTAGATACTTTTAGAGACTTCAGGGTATACCTGCTCGACGTTCGTATATTGCGAAGTCACATTCTGCTTTTAGATATTCTACTATTTATTTCTTATTCCAATACAGTATTGTATTTCGAGACTATTAGTACATCCTTATAGAGCTTAGTGCATTGGTATTCTTTAAGTCTTATTATTATTTCTGGTATTTGTCAATGCTTGTTAGGATTACCTAGTCTTAGAGATTAGGTATCATCACGACATCCTAAGGTGGGAAGTTGGGATAGTGGGAAGCTGGTATCAGAGCTCTAGGTTCATATGTATTATGAGTGATAAGCAAGTTCAGTAGAGCTATATAGTGAGAACACGCACTGCTGGATCACATGATCAGACACCCGCGACCCTACTAGAGCTATGCGAGGCCAGGGTCAGGGCAGAGGTAGAGAAGGGGCACGTCCTGCAGCAAGAGCACATGACCGAGCAGAGACGAACGAGCCACCAGTAGCTCCAGTTGAGGGAGAACCACCCGAGACGCATGTTGTTTCCACTGGACTTTAGGAGACCCTAGCACAGGGCTTGAGCGTACTTCGCACTCTAGCTCAGGCGAGGTTGATTCCACTAGCACCAGCCACATCTCAACTGGGGGAGGAGCACAAACTCCATCGGCTCGCACTCAAGAGTAGCTGGTCCACATTTATCAGGTCCCATGTATAATTCCAGCACAGCCAGCTATTCATGTTCAGTATGAGGTTAGGCCAGCGGGATCTGAGGAGGAAAAAGAATGCTTGAGAGGTTAAAAAATATGATCCTCCTACTTTTAGTGGTGCAACTACCGAGGATACGTAAGGTTTTCAAAAGAAGGGCCACTGTATTCTCCGTACCATGGGTATTTTGGAGTTGAGCAGAGTTGCTTTTACCATATTCCAGCTGTCAGAGGCAGTGTATCAGTAGTGGCAGGCTTACGTGGAGGCTAGACCAGCTAATCCAGCCCCACTCACTTGGGCTCGGGTTTTTAGAGATGTTTTTGAGATAGTTTGTTCCCCAGACCCTTCTGGATGCATGGTGCATAGATTTTGAGTAGCTTTGTTAGGGGACTATGTCAGTGTCAGATTATGTTATCAGATTTAATGAGTTTTCCCGACATACACCTACCTTAGTTTCTACAGTTAGAGAGCGATTCCGCAAATTCATCGAGGGGCTCAAATATGGTATTAGATTCAGCATGGCCTGAGAGTTGGAGAAGGATACTCTGTATCAACGGGTAGTAGATATTGCGCAAAGGTTGGAGAGGATGCGGGCCATGAGAGAGAGTACAGGGAGGCCAAAAGGCCTCGAGACTCAAGAGGATATAGTGGTGCCCATGCCTCAGTTGCAACTCATTATGGCAGAGGCTATGTGAGATGTCCAGTTCATTCAGTACTTCTAGCTACTAGCGGTACTCCTATTATTCTGAGGTCCCCGGTTTCCCATTTTGCTCAGCCACTTCCTAGTGCACTTCCTGCACGTGATGCCTTCCACGGTCAGTCTAGCCGACCTGGCTAGGGTCAGTTTTAGTAGCCATGCCTACGGAAAACTTATTTCGAGTGTGGGGATTCCATACATATGGTGAGGGACTGCCTCATACTAAGGAAGGGTGCTCCTTCGTAGACTTTGATACAAAACTTGATCTATTGTTACTCAATATGGTAGACTTTGATGTGATTTTAGGCATGGACTGGTTGTCGCCCCATAATTCTATTTAAGATTATCATGCCAAGACTGTGATATTGCCTATGCCAGGTTTTCTGCGGTTGGAGTGGAGGGGTAAATTGGAATCCATTCCTAGTAGAGTTGTGTCCTTTCTAAAAGTGCATCAAATGGTTGAGAAAGGGTGTGATGCATATCTAGTCTTTGTGAGGGATGTTAGTGCCGATACTCCTACCACTGAGACAGTTTTGGTAGCGAGAGACTTCCCAAATGTATTCTTAACAGATCTTTCAAGCGTGCCGCCCGATAGAGATATCAATTTTTGTGTTGACTTATTACCGGGACCTCATCCCATTTCTCTTCCACCATTTCATATGACACTAGCGAAGTTAAGAGAGTTAAAGGAACATCTTCAGGAGTTGCTTTATAAGGGTTTCATCCGGCCGAGTGCTTCACCGTAGGGTGTTCTGGTTCTATTTGTAAGGAAGAAGGATGGCTCGATGAGGATGTCTATTGATTATCGGCAAATGAACAAGGTTAAAGTAAAGAACAAGTACCCATTACCGCGCATTGACGACTCATTTGACCAGCTTCATGGTGCTAGAGTGTTCTCGAAGATTAATTTGCAGTCAGGGTATAATCAGCTGAAGTTTCAGGATCTGAATATCCTGAAGACTGCTTTTAGGGCTTTATATGATCACTACGAGTTCCTCGTGATATCATTTGGGCTGACCAACACCCCTGCAACATTCATGCACTTGATGAACAATGTATTCTATCCATATCTTAACCCATTCGTCATTATGTTTATTAACGACATCTTGGCATATTCTCGCTGTCAGGAGGACCACGAGCAACATTTGAGGATCATTCTCTAGACCATGAGTGAGAAAAAGTTATATGCAAAATTTTCCAAGTGTGAATTCTAGCTTGATTCGGTGGCATTCTTGATTCATGTGGTGTCGAGTGAAGGGATTAAGGTAGATTCGAAGAAGATTGAGGTTGTCCAAAGTTGGCCTAGATCATCATCAACTATTGAGATTCGGAGTTTCCTTGGTTTGGGCGGGTAATATCGTTGTTTCGTAGAGGGTTTCTCATCTATTGCTTCACCTTTTGACTAGATTGACGTAGAAGGGTGATCATTTCTGATGGTCCGAGGAGTGTGAGGCAAGCTTTCAAAAGCCGAAGGTTGATTGAAGTACGACCCGACTGTTGGTACTACCTACGGGCTTAGGGTCTTACACTATGTATTGTGATGCATCGCGTATTAAGCTTGGTGTGGTGCTGATGCAAGATGGTAGTGTGATTTCCTACTCGTCTTGGCTACTTAAGGTTTATGAGAATAATTACCCGGTCCACGACTTGGAATTGGCAGCTACTGTTCATACAATGAAGGTTTGGAGGAACTATTTGTATGGTGTTCCATGTGAGTTATATACCAATCAACGGAGTCTCCACCATATGTTCAAGCATAAAGATCTCACTTTGAAGTAGCTGAGATTGTTAGATTTTTTGAAAGACTATGATGTGACTATTCTATGTCATCCAGATAAGGCCAATATGGTGGCCAATGCCTTGAGTAGAAATGCAGAGAGTATGGGTAGCTTGGCTTATCTACAGGCAGCAGAGAGGCAACTAGCCATGGATGTTCAAGATTTGGCCAATCAGCTTGTTAGATAGGATAATTCGGAGCCCAATCGGGTCCTTGCTTGTGTGGTTTCTCGGTCTTCTTTATATGAGCGCATTAGAGAGCTTTAGTATGACGACCCCCATTTTCTTTTCCTTAAGGACACGGTACAACACGACGATGCCAAGGAGGTTTCTATTGGAGATGACGGGGTGTTGTGGATGCAGGGTTGGTTATGTGTGCCCGATGTGGATGGGTTGCATGAGATGGTCCTTGAGAAGACCAACATTTCACGGTACTCTACTCATTCGGGTATCGTTAAGATGTATCAGGATTTGAGGCAGCATAATTGGTGGAGGAGAATGAAGAAATATACAGTGGAGTATGTGGTTCGGTGCGTAAACTTCTAGCAGGTGAAATAGGAGCACCAGAGGCTGGACAGTTTGTTTCAAAGACTTAAGATTCCTGAGTGGAAGTAGGAGAATGTTAAAATGGACTGCGTTGTAAGGCGCCCGTGGACTTCGAGGAAATTTGGTGCAGTATGGGTTATTGTAAATAGACTGACAAATTCGGCACATTTCATCCCAGGGGTGACAACCTATTCTTCAGAGCAACTGTCTTAGATCTATATCTGCAAGGTTGTTCGTCTCTACAAGTGCCGATGCCCATATCTCCAATCAAGGCACGCAATTCACATTGCATTCTGGAGAGCTGTGCTGCATGAGTTAGGAACATGATTTGAGTTGAGTACATCATTTTAGATCCAGAAGGAAAATCGGTCTGAAAGCACCATTCATATCTTAGAGGATATGCTATGTGCATGTGTTATGGATTTTGGGGGTTCTTGGGATTACTTCTTGCCGCTTGCAGAGTTCATCTACAATAATAGTTGTCAATCGAGTATTCAGATGGCTCCTTATGAGTCCCTATATGGTAAACAATGTCGTTTCCTAGTTGGTTGGTTTGAACCGGGAGAGGCTAGGTTATTGGGCACGGATTTGGTTCGGGATGTCTTGGTGAAAGTCAGGTTGATTTAGGATCGGCTTCATACAGCACAGTCAAGACAGAAGAGTTAGCTGATCGGAAGACCTGTGATGTAGAATTTATTGTGGGAGAGAGTGTTTAGCTCTAGATTGCACCCATGAAGGGTGTGATGAGGTTAGGGAAGAAGGGCAAGTTGTTCCCTAGGTACATTAGTCCTTTTGAGATCTTTGAGTGAGTTGGTGAAGTGGCCTACAAGCTTGCATCTCAACCTAGCCTATCGGCAGTCCACCTGGTGTTCCAGGTTTCCATGATCCAGAAGTATTATGGCGATCCCTCTCTTGGATTAAATTTCAGTTCAGTCTAATTGGACAAGGATTTGATTTATCTTGATGAGCCGGTGACAATCTTGGATGGCCAGGTTTGAAAGTTGAGGTCAAAGAGCATTGTTTTACTGAAGGTTCAGTGGAGGGTTCATCCAGTCGAGAAGGCGACCTAGGATACTGAGCATGACATGCATAGTCTGTTACACCCCATGTTTTCGTACGTGAGAGTACGTCGTAAGTCAATTGATGTATGCTCAAAAATGAAATCGTCTTTGAAAGTACATAAAGTAAGTTAATAATGTTACAAACTTTAAAATCATGGATAACAAATACCAAGAGGGCTGAAAAGCATAGAAGTTAAACAAATTGAAGAAAATAAGTTTCGTCGAATGCCAACAAGTGGGGAATGTTATAGAATGTACTTTGGGGTGATACTAGCGCTCTTAACGTGATAAGGAGGTTATATTATGAGTTATTTTAGGCTTATGATAGTTGTATGTTACGTTTTGAATTCAAGCGAGTTGTGGAACAAAAGTTGGCAAAGGTCATCACAAGTTACATTCATAAATGTGCTGAAAATTAGGTCAAATGTAGCGGATCTTTTCTCCAAATATAATTGGAATTACGGGATGATCCACATGTCAAAATGAATATCAATAAGTCTAGTTTCTAACACGTTAATCCGTTCATCAATATGACATTGAAGTGGAGAGATATTTGCCGTTTAGCGAGACTGCGCAGACTGCATAGGTGACAAGTAGGTGTGTCACTGAAGCTTTTTGAGCAATACATTTCGTGTGTTATATGAGGTCTTTTTGGGACATATTATATACCAAATTGAAGATCTTGGAATTCTGTTTCCAAATATCTTAGCCGTTCGTTCATACGACATCCGGATTAAAAGATATAAGCATCGAAAGATCGGTCAATGCTAGGGTACCAAGCTAGCACCTCTTTGACTTTTCCAAAGTTGATATATATTGGTCTTAGGCCGTCTTAATCTTCATATTTCCATAGAACACGACGAGATAACATCCCTAAACATATCCATAAGCACTCTTCTAGGGTTTCAAAGAAGATTAGCATCCCAGGTACGAAATCAAGAAGAGATAACATTAGAACGATAGCTACGACGTAACTATTGCTATATCGCCTCTCTTTCTCTTTGTAGATTGAGTTTTGGACGGTACTTCATTGTTAAGAAAATTTCTAATTTCTGTATTTAAGCTTTAGATATCAAGGAAGCTTGATAAATTCGTTTCCTAATAGTTAGAACTCACAGGACGGTGATCGAAAACCGTGAGTTCAATTTATTTAACTTTTAGTGGACTATTTTGTAGTCCAGTCATGTTGGCCTATTGTGCTTATGATTTTTGGAGTTTGGAATGATAAATGGCATGGAGAAATACCACATGTAGTAGTGTAGTAGTCTAGTCGCTCGTGGTTGCAATTTCAGGCTATATGATAACTTGTTGATTGGGTGTGTTATGGTATATTTGGGGTTTTTGTTGTATTAAAGGTCCCAAATTATAGTTGGGTTGTTTTTGAGTTGCTGATTGTATTGTGTTTGTATCTCACCTATAGTTGGCTTGAGGGAACAATAAAATCAAGGGAAATGTTGTCCGTTTTGATAGGATATAAGTACTTTGGTCATAAGTACGTCGCTTTGTGTTTTGATGATCTGACAAACTTACTACCCAGAACCAGATAAGGAAGCTATTACACATTTACAAGCCCTTAAGATCACAAGGTTCCAAGTTGGGATCGAACTTGCATGATGATTCAACTCTTTAGAGCGAAAGGAACAGCTGAGGGAACATGTCCCTACCAGTTCCCGAGGAGACTGTGCGAAGTCAGCTCTCTAGCTGGAAAGTTGCTGCCTGTAGACGCTACAGTGCAGGAACAGTGCAACAGTCAACTTTCCAGGGAAGACTTTTTACCTACCTTTCTTACATAATTGTAAGTGATGTCACACATGTATATATACAATCAAGGGAGGTAAAATACATTTTACTTGAACATTTGACAAACTCACTCACGTGACCATTCAACAAGCAAGTTTCAAGTGCTTCAAGAACAAAGAACAAAGCAACTACGGATCAGTTCCCACATCGAGTCATTGTATGTTTTTAGTTGAGTTGTAATTTTGTAATAGTTCTTCAATTGTTATCTAGCTTGTTTAGAAGAATTCTATAGGAACCCCTTTGTAAACCTTAAACATGTGTGTTTGAGTCTTGGCTAGAGTTAGACATGTTGTAAAGTCTTTGTAATGGATTTATTAAAAAGTGGCTTGTAATAGGTGTGTTACAAGTTAGTGAGGGATTAAGAGGTTAATTCCTAGGTTACATAGGTTGTAATCTAAAAGTTTTTCAGTAGTGAAGTTGAAATCCTACAAGGGTAGGTCATGGTTTTTTAATCTCATTGAGCTGAGAATTTTCCACATAAAATTCCTCTTGCCATTTAATTACTGCTTTGTGTGTGTACTGATTGAATCTGATAGAGAACCTGGTTCTCTATCAATTTTGGTGGACCCTTATATTCTATTAATTGGTATCAGAGCGGGTTCTTTCTATCATGTTAATACCTAGAAAGGATCCTCATGGCTGCTCCTCCAAACTTTGAAGAAGGCCAGTCTACTTACAGACCACCTAGGTTCAATGGACAGTATTACGGATCGTGGAATCTAGAACACATGACTTCATCATGGCTGAAGATTCTGAGCTATGGGATGTCATATGTGATGGACCCTTTGTTCCTACCAAAAACCTTGGAGACCAACCAGTAGCCGTTTCCAAGACAAGGAAAGAATTCAATGAAGCGGATAAAAAGGCCATAGAGAAGAACTTTCGTGCTAAGAAAATTCTAGTGTGTGGTATTGGTCCTGATGAATACAACAAGATATCAGCATGTTAGTCATCCAAAGAAATCTGGGAAGCCCTTCAGCTAGCTCACGAAGGAACAACACAGGTCATGCAATCCAAAATCGACATGCTCACAACTGAATACGAGCTCTTCAGGATGCAAGACGATAAATCTGTCCAAGAAATGAATAACCGGTTCACCTATATCATTAATGAGGTTCACTCCCTTGGCGAAGCTATTCCAAGAAACAAGTTGGTTAGAAAAATCCTAAGTGTGCTGGCCAGTTCTTGGGAAAGCAAAGTGGACGTCATTACAGAGGCGAAGGATTTGCATGAGCTAACTATTGATGAGCTTGTTGGAAATCTAAAAACATATGAAATAAAGAAGAAGAAGGACAGTGAAAGAAGAGAGCCCAAGAGGGAGAAGAACCTGGTCCTCAAGACGAAAAACAATGACTCAAGTGGTGAGGATGGTGATATGGTATACCTAACAAGAAGATTCCAGAAGATGGTTTGCGGGAATGAAGGCATCCTAAAAAAGGGAAGTTCTAGCAAGCCAAGGAGTTATGACCTCTGTCATAAATGTGGCAAGCCAGGACATTTCATCAAGGATTGCCCTCTCCTTAAGTAGGATCAGTACAAGAACAACTCTAACAAAGCATCCAAAAGGAACCTGGTTCCTGACATACGCTTTAATAGAAAAAACACCGCTGATAATGTCGTGAGACAAGATCTTGCTGCATGGTGAGATTCATCAAGCGAATTTGGAGAAGATGATGAACAAGAAAGAGATGACCTTCTAGTGGTAGTAATGGATTTGAAGGAAACCATTGGGAAATCTAAAATGGAAAGTAGGGCTGAAAACTATCAAAAAGGAAAGAAAGTTGCAAGCGAGCACATATTTAGCTTGAAAGTGAATTAAATTCAGTGAATATTAGTTTTTGTGCTGAACTTGAGAAAAACAAACAACTTCAGGAAGAACTAGGAAGAGTGAAGAGTGATCTTGAAAAATCACTCAAGTAGACCTGATCCTCTGATTCTATCTTTGTGACGACCCGACCGGTCGTCTTAAGAATTAACACCCCGATCCCCTATTAACTGCTTCCCCTAAGTTCATTTCTGCTATTTTGGTTTGCCGGGACGTTCGGTGTTAGGTTTCGGAGAACTTTGGGACGCTTGGTCCCTAAATGAGAGCTTAAGTGTTGAAAAGTGGTCTGTAGTCGAAACAGTGTGAAGATGACCTCGGAATGGAAATCCGATGGTTGCTTTTGCTCCGTTAGGTGATTTCGGGGTTGGGAGCATGTTCGGAATGTATTTTGGAAGCCCGTAGCTCATTTGGGCTTGAAATGCCGAAGTTTGAATTTTTGAAGTTTCCGGTCCGATAGTGAGTTTTTGATCCAAAGGTCGGATTGGAATTCCGGAAGTTGCAGTAGCTCCGTCATGTCATTTGGGATGTGTGTGCAAAATTTCAGGTCATTCGAACGTGTTTTGGTTAGGTTTTTGATCAAAAGCGTGTTTTGATAAAATTTGAAGTTTTTAGGCTCAAATCCTGTTTA